GTGTGTGCGTTTGTGTGTGCGTGTGCCCGGGTGTGTGTGTGTGTGTGTGTGTGTGTGTGTGTGTCTGTGCGAGTGTGTGTGTGTGTGTATGGCGGTGGGGGGGCACGTGTATGTGTGTGTGTGTGTGCGCATGTTACATGTGTTGGCCAACAAGCAGATCCAAGCAGTGGAGGTCATGAACACTGTTTGAAAAAAGTCAGTGCCACACGTTTCTTTGCTGCCCAACTTTTTTTATTATCGCCACTGAGTATTCCTTCACCCCCTTTCTCTGTCCTGGCTTTGCCCTGTGTTTTTCTCCTTTCCTCCAAATGATATTTCTCCGCGTCCTTGAGTTCCCTCAGGCCCTTCACTCGTCTTTAAGCCTGTTTTTATTTTTGTGTTTTATTCCCGTCTCCTCCTATTGGCTGGCTCCTTTTCCATTCTGGGGAGCATCAGTCCGGTTCCTCTTCCCCCTGCAAGTCGAGGATAGTATAACGGTTACTCGCTCACGCTCCTCCACCTTATGGCGTGGAGGCCCAGAAGACGACATTGATTACGTCCTTGAAGGAGGATGTACCTATCTTCACCCCTGCAGGAGGATGTACCGATCTTCACCCCTGCCTAAGTTAGCCTGCTCTATCAGGTCTCTTTTCTGACTGTTCCTCTCTGTTGATTGGACTTGTGGCATGTCTGTGTTTTTTTGGGGCAGCGGGTGTGTTGGACTTCTGGACTCCTTGGGAGCAGTTTTATTTGAAAGTGTCGCTTGAAGCTAAGACCCTAAACCCTAGCTTGGTTACCCCCTCCTGATGAACCTTTTTCTGGGGGTTGTTTCCTGACTGTGTCTACTGTTGATGGGGAGTCTGCTTGGATTCTGCGGCATACTCTCTGTTTGGGGTTGGGGTAAAGGGAGGGGGGTGGATAAGGTTGGGAATTTTGGATCGGTGCTGGTTGTGGGATAGATGCAGTACGTGGGAGTGGGGAGGGGAAGGGGGCTGTGTGAGTTCGTCTGTGTTTGCTTCTGTGTTTGCTCAGATGTTTAGGGGGTGGGTTGGGAGTGGGAGGAAATATGTGGGGGGGGGAAGGTGGCGAGGAGGTTGCTGCTATGGAGGTGGTTGAGTGTTATGAGGCTGGCTTAATACCGGTGATCACTGAGGTAGAGTGGATGATGGGTAACTTGGTATTGTTTGTATGCATATCCATTTTTTGAGGGTGATCACTGAGGTAGAGTGGATGATNATCACTGAGGTAGAGTGGATGATGGGTAACTTGGTATTGTTTGTATGCATATCCATTTTTTGAGGGTGATCACTGAGGTAGAGTGGATGATGGGTGGCTTTGCTGGCCAACTTGCCTGAAGACAGCCATTTTTGTAAACTTTTGAGTACTAAACTGTGCTGCTGTGGCAAGGTCTGCCAACTCTCAGGGCACATTCACACTAGCACTTCAAATTTTTACTCGTTTCTGGATGGAATTTCGGCCAGATGCATACAGGTCGGGCCATAAATGCAGCCAGATGCATTTGTGATACTGCTAGTCTGAGTACCCCCTCAATGAGACTGAGCCAAGGGCCGGCAATGATAATCATCAGGCTCGCTGCTGCAGGACATAGAGGGGATGCCTAATGTTCTTTCCTTTTGGAAGTACGTACGTTTCAGTCACAATCGCAAGGGAGTGCTGCAATCCTTCGGGACAGCCATTAAAATTGGAGCGATACAGAGAAGATTAGGGCCGGATCCAATGAACTTTTGGGGGATCGCACTTCTTTCCGTATGAGCAGGTCTCCGCGCCGCTGATGGGAGGATGTGGAAACAGTTTCTACTGTCACAGTGGCAGCTCGGGAGGGAGCAATCACCGGTGCAAGAATCTGTCCTGTTTTCAAGAGAAGCCAACCCATACCCTGCCCCTAAAAAGCTGGAGCAATATAATCTAAAACTAATACTAGAGAATTTTATGATTTTATCTATCTATCTATCTATCTATCTATCTATCTATCTATCTATCTATCTATATATATCGTCACAAACAGAACTGCCCGGTAAACCGTAGGCAGAGAGAGAGAAGAGGACAACAAACGAGGGGCTGTGTATATATATATATATGTATATATAGCCCCTCCTTTCATCCGTTGATCCGCCACCCACCCACATAATTGCGCCGCGATGCTTATAAAAGCGCCCGGGGTTGTAGGATGCCAATTTCCTTTCAAAGGGAAGAAAAAAAGAGGAAAGATCCACTTTTGGGACTGACACGTATTACCGCCGATGCGGTGCTTCCGGGGGCCGTGACCCACTAGCGGGGGTTTATGTTTCATGTACTGTCCAAAGTGGTCACAGTAGGGGCGTGAGATTTTCAGATCGGATGGCAAGGAGCCATGTAAACCTCGAGAAGCGGGACATGGCCCCGGAGATGCTGTTGCGGTGAACGTGGAACTGGGTTGGGTGGAAGGACGGCGTAGTTCAGGGGTGAAGAAGGTGGAACCCCCCTAAGGACGACTGCGTAGCGTCAGTGGAAACCCGTGTGGCGTCGGGGAGCCGTCTCCAGCGCACACTCGTGTTCAGAATCTTACCTGAGTTATTCTTATGGAGTGTTGATTGTTTCGTGCACGACTCGTCTACATGACATTGTGTTACGTGTGGATTTGTACAGTATCCATTGTGTTACGTGTTTGATCCTGGCTCAGAATGAACCACACTAGGCCCTCGAAATCCTAAACTCGCAAAATGAACGCCCAGATCAAGTGCTTGTAAGCGGAGGGCTATCATATTGTGCATCGGTGATGTAATGATCATTACCCGGACAGAGAAACGAATCCGGCAGGGTCACACTTTAGGTGGGGAAATTGGAGACGATCGGACTTGAACCGATAAGTTAAACTTCGTACTTGCAAAGCATGCGTTCTACCACTTGAACTACGCCATGATCCTCTTGTCTTTCGTCGACAACAGCCATGATTACGTCATACATAGGGCCTCGCCACACGCACTGTCAAAACGTACGTAGAGTGCATCTTCGTAGTAACGGATGCATCTTGCCGCTCTCAGCAGGAAGATGCACTCTTACTTTTTTTCCCCTTTCAACACTGGTGTGGCGAGGACCATAGGGCCGTGCTCCACTACTCGCCACATGCACACACGACGAGTATCTTGGTCTTGTACCTTTCAATGTTCTAGCGCAACATTCATTCTCTTTTTGCACATTTGGTGAGTACTAAGCAGTGGAGCGACGGGCATCGCCTGCTCAGGCTAATCCTATTTCCTGTGAGTAGCTCTACCCTATAGTACAAGAATTCGGTGCCATCACATTCCTTCTTGTACACTGTGAGTGGTAACAAAGCTGCAAGATAAAAAATAAAAAAAAGCTGCAAGGCGACGGAATGCGGAGAAGGTGACCCTACTACTGAGTTATTAAAGTTTAACTTAGTGACAGTCTAACACAACTGTAGAGTGTGTTTGCCTCATACAGTGGGAACAAAGCTGCAAGGCGACTTGGACAGAAGGCGAATAAGGCAACTCTGAAAATCGCAAAATGAGCGGCCAGAGAGAGCCCTCCGCTTACAAGCACTTGATCTGGGCGTTCATTTTGCGAGTTTAGGATTTCGAGGGCCTAGTGTGGTTCATTTTGCGAGTTTAGGATTTCGAGCCAGGATCAAACTCTGTTTTGTGCCCTAGAGTGCCTCGTACAGCTGACGATCGAATGAAACGCGTCATCTGCATAGCAGCCCAAGATTACAACGCGAAAAAAAAACGACTGAAATGACTGATTCAAGCATCTCGCGATACAGCTGTACAAAAAAAAAACGACTGAAAAAACGGAATGTCCTTGCACACACAGTCATGTTTTAGAAAGGGAGAGACGATGGA